TAAGTAATTAAGTACCTCATTCAGGTCTGCATGACAACTGCGTAAGGATCTATACCGAAACGTCGCCTTTACAGTATTAAAGAAGTTGTTATCCATAATTTGTGTGTACTTTGTCAAGTGTACACTTAGGAGATAAATATTTCGTTTTGTAAGATTTGCGTGATGTTATGCTGAATGGATGTACGGAAATTTTTCATTTGAACACTCCACCGACATTGTAACATGAACGTTAATTAAATCGATATTTAGGAGGAACTAATTTACTGAGCGCATGACACAACAAAACTGTTGTTCGCAATACGTCTCCTCGTGCTCACCTTCGAAAGGATGCATGATATGGGGTGCCGCGAAACCGATCAACGGTTTCGAAGTACTCCAATAATGATGGTTCATTTTACGAAAGGGGTGGCCACATGTTCAAGCCCATTTCTCAGAAAATAAACAAACAACAGGAAATATCACAAATTCAATTCTTTATCACAGTTCCTCATCTTACTTGTAATTTGTAGTTATGCGTATCTATAAAATACAAATAATCAAAATTAGAAAAGCCGTACATACTGTTTGGCCCCTATACAAGAAAGTGTCAACCCGCTGAGGTAGTGACAAGAGAGGTCAAACATGTGCGAGATTTTAGATATGCAGCTTAGCTGGGATGGAAAAAGTTGTTTACTGTCACAGTGGGATTATATATGTGAAAGAGACCATGGGAATTAGCAGAAGAATTAACCTGGAAGTTATTCACGGGAGCAGTGGACAGTGGCAGGATATTTGTATCTTGGACAGGTACCAAATTACGTTCGTTAGCGAGCTGCTGCTGTCCCTGAAGAATGTTCGAATAATGTCGTTTTTGAGCCGAGCTCGAGTCAATGGAGTACGACTTCAACGATTCATCGGTTTTGTGGCCGGTAATTTTGCAAATCTCGCGATTTTCAATGCCTGCGTTTGACAGCAAAGTAACAGCAGTTGCCCGAAGACAATGGTTTGTATACACTTTGAGACCAGCGTTGGTAGAAATTTCTTTCATCATGTTGCCAATGACATTTACACCAACTGGCCTCGTGGTGTACCATTCGGTGTCGTCGACGTGGACTCGTCTCTTGGGAGCCTGGTAAAAAGCACCATTGTTGGGATTGAGGAGAGACATGTATTTTTTTAATGAAAGTACAGGAGAGAATTGGTCCGATGTTGCATAAATGCGTTTGTTGGGCCCATTTGAGTCTTTGAGGTCCCCCCTGTGATTTTTTGTGACTTCGGAGTGTGTCATTTCAATGAACTCAAACCCCTGTTCATCGGTGGATACACGAAAGGAAGATGCAGTTAATTCCCTTTGGTTTTCTTTACCACGACGAGCGAAACCGAGTGTAAGGTCGAACCACACTTTACGAAGCAAGCCGGAAGGAGTTTCCGTATCCAAACTTTCACGAATTTTTTTAAATCATTCTCGGGGATAGCAGCATGATGTGTTGCCTGGTCAAGGCCATCGCGCTTTAGTTTTTTTATCATGGACAGAAAAACATTGTTTGCAGTGTGAAATTCCCGGTCTTGGATAATGTTTATGCTGCGCTCAAATGGCGGTCCCCTGATGTGCCTGTGTATGGCAGCACGCAACCCAACAAAACTCGATTTTGAGTAAAGTGTCCCTCCGCACTTCGGCATAAAAGAACCTCAGTCTCTCATTCAGTTGAGAAGCAGGAAGCTCTTCGAACTTGGGTTCAAAACCTCGGAAACCAAGCCATTCTGGAAGTGGAAAAGATTGCCTTGTTCAGGGTACAAATGTGACAGTAAGTGGGAGTAATTTGTTATTCTACCATGAATTTGGAATTTACTCGATTCTGATTGGTGAATCAGAGGCTATTAAATCACAATAAACCCCCTCTGATTGAAACAGCTGGTTTGACGGCCGCATCACGGCGGAAGCTAATATTCATAGAATAGTTCTATTTTCAGTCATTGTCGGCAGGCATATTAAAAAAATTATATCTACAATTACAGGTTACAAAATGCACAGAAGCGGTTACTACAATATTCAAAGGATGTGTGGCAATACATTTCTTGCAGAAAAACACGACAGAAATCAACAAAGGGAATGTATTTACGTTTTGGAGACAACAGAGAGCTTGGAATTTTGGCGCTTTTCTATATACGACGTCATATTTTTTGCGTCACAATGAGCGATATGACGTCATAATGGTGACGCACGATGTAGAGCGAAAGCCTTGCAAAGCTTTCGCGTTCGGTTCCAAATTCAATTTAGCGGGGTTAAATCTACAGGTAACCTAGCTCTACATTGAAAACACAGTATGTTTATCTCCTAATTAGGGCCTAGTCCTATTACGGCGTCGTGTTTAAATGAAATTTCCGTATATCCATTTAGCATAACATATCTCAAATCTTACAAAACGAAATATTTAATTTACGTTAAGATTTTGGTCAATCTCGTTATATTATTGCCATTTTTTGCGATGACACATTGGTCACGCTTTACATTGCTATCATGGCAATGGTGTAAGGGAGGTAACTCTCGCTGATGTTGATCGAATCTGCGTAGGAATTTTAGGTATGTGTTTATGTATTCTTTTATGTTTCAATGGCTTACGTCGAAATATTTTATCTCCCCAGGAGGTATTACGCCCAGTATTTTTGGAGAGGTTCCCATCCACGATGCCCTGTACTGCATTTGCATCAAGGGACGCGAAGCGGTCACTGGACGCTTGAACTTTTGGCTCTACTGAAACGCTGGCTGTATTTCCTAGTTCAGGGGCCATCTCAGAACGGCTTTCAGCTTCAACAGCTGTTGTGAGTAATAATAATAACAAAAGTAGGTGGGTGTATGAAAGTCATAACTATTATAGAGTTGCAATAAATTTTTTTACTCTGTTAAAAAATGATTTTCTTTTCTTTTCCCTTTGGCCAAGCCCAAGAAAATTACACCATTTATGATTATGATTGGGTAATTAATGAAAATAGGTAAATTTCATTTACCTTCAAATTCTTGAATTATCTCAGAAAATGTCTCGTCGTCCCAATCACTCAATATTTCATCGAAATCTCCGATGTGGAAGTCGGTAAATTTCCATCTGTTCCTCCATGTTGATGATTTCAAAAATAGTTCCATTAATTAATGTATACATACACGGTGATGAGACCCCAAAAACTCAGCGATGTTATGCTCATTCGACAACACTTTTTAACCAATCAGATCAGAGAACATACCTACTTTTATGTTACAATTGTAAATAGCACATGCTAATAGTCAATTTAATTACACCAAAAATCTAAATGAAATCAATATGATACATGTGTATATAACCTCTTCCGATATATATATATTTATTTATCTATCTGACCCAAAAGCCTCTGCCACGCTCTCTACGCACTTCCTCCCTGGTGACATAACATCATTACCTGTACAGTCCGCTCCTGTCCACCCTGTCTCACACCCGGTGTCACAGTGCCCTGTTGAGTTACAGGAAGAGTTCCCCACACAGTGTCTGGAGACGCAAGTCTGGTCACAGTTAGCTCCGTAACGTCCAATGTCACACACTGGAACATTATCGTGTAAACATGAAACTGACATATGAGCTGTACCCGACATAGACAATATAAATGTATTTAAGTTATAGTAAATCTCAATACGTTACATATGTTTTAGACTATCCAAGATATGAACAGTGAATATTCTCATCGTTTTTTATTGTTGTTATATCGCTGGAATAATGTCGATGCGACTGTCAATGTTAACTTACCCAACACATCGAGAAATACACTTTTGATATATATGTTCCTATGTTTAACTCGAAAGGTAAATAACGATAAACACCTTCTCCGCAGTCGCCACCCATCCACCCTGGCGCACACCCGGAAACACATGTCCCTCTAATGTGATCACATGGCGAGTCTCCAAAAAATATATTGCTAAATATTGTAATGACTACTACCAGTTTAAAACGTATTTAACACCAGTCCAAATACTGGCAAATTGTGTTCAGGCCTTGCCAAAGTTCAGATAAGACAGAATAAACAGGTGATTTTTTTACTAAATGGCTATTGTTTGCAATGTATGAACAATCTGTTTCTGTTCATCTCAAACTTAAGCCATGTCAAGGCACCATATAGGGGTGAAATTGGGGGAGAGTTGTACATTGTTTTTGGTTGATTAAGTTGTGTTTTAACATAGAACTGTATATATAGTAGGAATAATTAGTATCCTTGTGATATGCATTGTAGATCACGCGTGGATTTTAGTTAAAATGATACATTCTTTTGCTGGTACATTCGGCCAATTTATGTTAAATAATGTTCTTCATACATGTCCCCGCAACCTATGCCTGTTGTATGGGGCGACCATGACAGGGTGAGAGTGCTCGGTGATTTGGTTGACAGCTGAACATTGTACCCGATGGAGTGAGACATTGCTCTCAATATCAGTTACTACTTTGCCTGGTCCAGATTGAATTGTTTAAGGCAAACGTCATATATGTGGGATAAAGCTGATGCAACCTAATCTTCTCGCATATATCATGGGGTGCAACAATTTCCATTCGACTTGAGATAAAGGCTTAATTAAAGGTGGCTTTAATTTTAATGAATGCTGTTTTTATACCTCAAACATAGTTTATTTACAGACAGCAGTCAACGGTAGCGTACATCGCTGAATGCTAAAGATCTATATTCGTTCTTCACAAGTATTAATTATACGACCTTAAAGCCGACTATGCTCGTCGTAATAGGCGACTAAAGGGATCGGGTGGTCAGGCTCGCTGACTTGGTTGATTTATGTCATCGATCCCAATCGCATGGATCGATGCTCATGATGTCAATCACAAGATTGTCTGGTCCACACTCGATATTTTAAAGACCGCCGTCATATGGCCAGAATATTGCTGAGTGCGGTATTAAACCAAAAAACAACACTTATACGAACACTTGTTTTAAAGGCTAATAACACTGTTGTAAGATTGTCAGTAAAACGTTTAAAAGATTATTCAGATGGCCACCTTCTCTGCAGTCTTCACCCATCCAACCTGGCGCACACCCGGAAACACATGTCCCGCTTATGTGATCACATGGCGAGTCTCCAGCACACTTCCTGTCAGTACAGGAGTTGCTGCAGTTCTGTCCATAGCTTCCATTTGAGCATGCTGTGGAGAAGTCACAATGTCACGAACATATTACAGATTTATGGCTAATTATTGTTATGCTTATCATAAAAAAATCAAAATCATAGTAATATGCATTTTAGTCACATGTAGAATCTAAGCTAAAAGGATATTTCTTATGCTTATGGAAATGGTTTTGTAGCTTTTATTTAGTGACTGCGTGTCGGCGTGGGACATTGCGTCCTTATAATCAATTAATGGTTTATCCAGACTCAATCATCACCAGGCAAGCGTCATATTACTGAAATATTGCTGATGCAAATCAAAACCTTGTTCCTGCATAATATTATTGGTTGCAACACAAAAAATGATTGGTTATAATACAAAATCTATCCACATAACGTTCTGTGTGATTTCTAATCAGCTCGATATAAACATTGTTTTGAGCAGGTTATAATATGTTCCTTTTTTAAAGCATACATTTTAATAAATGTTGTTTTAATGGTATTATTTCTTGTTGGGTACAGCACTGTATGCACTAAGAGTGACTTAAACGACCACTTGTTTTAAAGGCTAAAAACAATGTTGAAAGATTGTCAGTAAAACGTTAAAAAGATTATTCAGTTGGTCACCTCCTCTGCAGTCTTCACCCATCCACCCTGGCGCACACCCAGAAACACATGTCCCGCTTATGTGATCACACGGCGAGTCTCCTGCACACTTCCTGTCGGTACAAGAGTTGCTGCAGTTCTGTCCATAGCTTCCATTTGAGCACACTGTGGGGAAGTAACTATGTCATTTTCATATTACAAAAAAGCATAGTGCTAAATGTTATTTTTATGGTTGGAATAGTATGTTGAGTCACTTATCAGGGAGAGTCAGTAGGCTTAATAATTGAATACGCTTTCGACATGTTTCAATGTCTAAAACATGTAAACTACGATAATCACCCTCTATGCAGTCGTCACTAATCCATCCAGCTTCACATCCAGAAACACATGTCCCGCTTACGTGATCACATGACGAGTCTCCAGCACAATTCCTATCTGTGCAAATGTTGCTGCACTTCGGCCCATAGCTTCCATATGAGCACACTGTGGAGCAATCACCAAGTTATAAACACATTACATAGAGAATATTTCATGTGTCAAGTGAAATATCACGTTTCTGTAGCCACTCGTGAATATATATCCTTTTTCCCACGCCATGAGATATCCTCGTATCCTATACTATTTATTATATACTTTTTGTGTAGTGTCTACTGGAAAATCATTGAAGAGGTTGTGCCCATTATGTCATTCAGTTATAGAAAATGAAATACGATTTACTATTGTATGTCATTTTGATCGTGATCTAAGAAATATGGTTATACCAGAACGCTTTCTGTCAAGGCACCCTGTACCTGCTTTTATTTCTCTTCTCTCTTCAAAAGAGGATACTGTCATAGTACAACTGTCTTTATATGATATTTCCCGAAATTTTCAAAATTGACTTGGTTTCGAATGGATTAAACTCTTTTACTCATACGTAACTCCCATGTTACTTTGACTTGACTTTAACAGTGCAACTACAGCCAACACCTTCTGAGTTTTTTTTCCGCGATCTGTTCTATGTTCAAATACATTTGAGGGGCTCAAATGTGTCTTTTTCAAACCAGTGGACTGACTTTGTCGGAATGTTTGCTGTGTAACATATATGTCCGCAGATAAGCCGAATTGTGAGAACCAGAAAAAAGATTCTGTAGAAACGGTTCGGCTTATCAACAGGATACACTTTTAGGATAGTATTATTTTTAGATGGTAATCCGTCAGGAATTATGGTCCGATAGATTACAACTTCCTGAAAGTTTGGAAGTTGCAACGACTACAGCCATTATTGTTATAAATGATCAATAAAGTTATCATTAGACTTACATGTACATACTCATAGGTCTCAAGAAACACCCTTATTCCTCCTCAACATACAATAACTGTAAATAAATGCGACAAAGACTTTTCCATAAACATGAAACTAGAAACATTTCCGATCTCGACAATGTCATCGCCATATGTTTATGAATCGCAATTAACGTTAACCAGTGTTGATTCCAAGTTTTTGCAGAAAAGTGGGCATGTCCTGCCCTATAAGTAGCAGGCGGTTACCAGGACAGACACAACTGACAACTGCATCAAGGTCACATTGATCATTCATATCTATGTTCTGTTGTCAGAATATAGGAACACACTGTAGCTTTACCGTGTCAGTATAAACTTGTCTAACAATATCAAATATAATCTTGCTTTGTATAAAAATGGAATGGGGGATATCAAACACTGCTGAAGGGGACCGGCGGATGCATGGGCTAGGTTTTAATACTGCTTACTTTCGGGTGGCATAAAACTACGAGGATTGTGATCGCTGCATTATCTTGCTCAACCTGCCGTATCTCAATGAATTGGAACAGATTTGGATAGCACCCCTAGATTAGACTTGTTGGCGTTGACCTGTTCATAATGACATATTATTGTGCTGCGTGATTGTCATCTGGGGTTATGCTGGTTGAACATCTTCGTGGGAACATTTCCAATTTATGGAAATTTGACGTCCGCTCTTAATCACCGGCAAAAGCCAAGTGCTGCCTTCTCAAGAGAAATAAACTGTAAATGAACCTGTGCATTTGCCACAGTTGAACTCTGTTTCAATGATTAATATGATCAGTTACGCATTGATATATATTTTGAACGTTTTCACTCGGTACAGTGTATGTGAATTATAGTTCACCAATTAGTGAGCTATTCACCAAGTTGTCGTGTCACACGTGAGATGCCCCCTTAATCCCCTGTTGTCTTACCAATCACCATCCTTGAGTGAATTTGTACCTATGTGACAATAAGACCTGGACAAGTGAATGACCCCCAATAAACCACATGCTGCCCTCGGTCCTATTCCACAATAATCAAACGAATGAGCAGACAGAAAAAGTCGTTTATGAATCCGAGGCTGAAGCAGGCAGACTGGGCGTCCCCCGATCGTTGAACATGCACATCGCGGGAAACACAGGGTGCTCGATTAAACCGTAGTGGCGGATTATTTCGTTTGGTGGACCATTTCTCCTGTCGGTTTTGACGCTATTTCCCTTCTTCAAATTAAAGTTGGGTTAAGCATTTGTTGCTATTTTGAGTTTACTTGCCCTTTAAACATTGGGAGCTGAGTTTTTAAACTTACATCAGTAGATGCTTGGATGTAAAACTTCATCCTTTGTCATGTTTATTTAATAAGACCTTGTTTTATTTAAGTAACTCATAGAATTGTGTGCCTCAGTGACATGATATAAACCACTCTCATTGAATATATGTCGAAACGAATACAGATGTCAGGTTCACGTTATTACTTGAGCACAGTTGTCTGCTATCAGCAACTACCTATATCATAAGTCTCCACCTCACAGATGTTAAGTGTCTCGGTGCTGTGTGTGATGATGGAGTTTCACGTCATAACTTTCGAATTAACTGACGTGTCCTATCAATTGTGCATTATTATTGTATGAAAACGTTTGTTCGAAATTTTACTTATGAAATTGGACATCAATCAATGAATATATTTTCAATCAATGAATATACTATGTTAGAATACAAGACCATACTGAACCTTTACAGTGGCCTAGTGGTAGAGCGTCAGAGAGAGGAAGGTCCAGAGTTCGATCCTCGTCAAACCAAAAAACAAAAGATGGTACTTGTTGTTACCCCACGCTTGGTGTTGAAACAATGACTGTACTTTGATCTGAAGTCTTCTTGTCTATCCACTGACTATCTTGCCGCATACCAGATAACATGTACTTACATTCTTGCAATACAGATCTTCTCATGTCAACATGTAAGATTTCCATGTGCAAGGGGTAATGTGGTACATATTTGGTGTTTTTTGAATGACAAAGTCTTTTAAGTGGAGCTGAGTTTACATCCAAAAGAATCAATAAAGGAATCGATAAAGGATAATTGATGACTGTCAGATCTTCATGATTTTGTTCCACTGTGCTTCATATAAAACGTAGCTGAAGATGCTGAAACGTTATTCTTTGTCAGTTAAGATCCTGCCTATTTCATAGAGGCTTTATGTTAAGACAGTTTATGTGAATGTATGCGTCATTTGAAAGACATCTTAAAGAGCCTTAGGTTAGAACAACTTTGCAGAATTGGATAGGTCGTAACATTGTTAATGCAAATATGGTACACAAAACATCAAAAGCGTCGCGTAAATATTGTTAATTTCCGCTTTAATCCTTTACATCAATTCGAAAGCCTTTATATATAGGGGGTTCATATATAGTGGCTGTTGGAGGTGATTAAATTTGACCAGAATTAAATTTGAAAAATTTAAAAAACCTTTAAAAAAAGGATAAAAAATTGACAAGTGAAATCTTTTCCCGACCATATAATCCATCACTGGAGGTTAAAACGGCTTCCTGTGTTCGACGCGCTGGGGAAATAGAGAATCTCACCCGAGTGTATTTTGATATCAAATATATCACGTTTTTTCCACTTTTATAAACGAGTCTGAAATATATTATATCAAAAGATACGAGGGTGATATTTTATTTATCATCCAACATCATGCTACCAACTTTTTCAGTTTGGAGACAATACTAAGCAGTGTCTGAAGTATGAAAAAGTATTGCTGACAGCTTCAGTAGCAGAGCCATTAGTGAGGTCAATTTATCGTGATATCTTGGTAACCAGTGATGTCACAATGGTCTGCAAAGCATTGTGGTGCAATTTCGTTGCAGCGATATCTACAATGTAGATATTGCTGGATCTCACCTAAGTGATATCTCCTGTGGGAGGCTGTTTTGGATGATAAATTCATCTATCAGGCCCATGGCCAGACTGCCAGCTTCCACCTTGGTTTCTTTTAGGGAAGACGAAAATTGATATTCAATCTAAATCAAAATCATTGTTTTCACTTTACCTGCATTTATTAAGACTGTGCAACTAACATGACATAAGTAGTAGTCACTGAATATACGACTATATAATATATCTGCCAGTTAAAAGGCAGTGCCGAGG